CCCCGTTCGACTTCCGTGACACTGACACACTGGCACCCTCTCTGCCCCCTCCGTGGCTGTCTGACCTGACACCCCCGCCCAGCTGACTGGCCGAGGGCAGTAGGGGTGACGAGGGTGCTGTCCGAGCCCCGCTGTGCCCTGTCTTCTGCAGGCGCACATGGCTGGACTCGGGGAGGAGCTGCAGGCCCAGCCTCAGCCGGGGAAAGGGTGGCTTTGGGCCACAGTGGGGGCACGTGACCCACCGGGAAGCGAAGGAGGGGCGGGTGCAGAGGCACTGTGGAGACTGAGGGCGGAAGGCTGGAAGGCAGTGCCGGCACTGGGGCGGCCAGGGCGGTGTCCCGGGCCGGAGTGCGGCGGCAAGGCCGCTCCCTGTAAGCACACAGCGCGTGCCGGCGCCAGTCAGGCAGGAACATTAACGAGGCCTGGTCCCTGTCCCTTGCAGATTCATGTCCAGGTGGCCTCACGTGGTGTCTAGGTCCAATCTCGGGTTGAATCCTGGCTCACACCTTGGAGCTTTGCGGCCTTGACAAGTAGGCCTAACCTCAGAGTGGGATAGCAGCAGTAGCTGCCGGAGGGTCGCTGTGGCCTGAAGGGCACGACCTAGCAGCCCAGCCCGCAGGCCTCACCCCTGGGCACAGCATGTGCACGCCCCGCTGCATCCTGATCTGCCACGGGACGGATGGTGGCCGAGCCGGACTGCACAGCGGGTGTTCTGCGGGCACCGTGGGGTGAGGCAGGGGCTGGTTCTGCCTTGTGGGACAGGAGCGGGGTGTCTGGCAGAGATGCCCCGAAGAGGCCAGTTTAATGGAGTCTTAGAGCAGGGGAAGCTCCGAAGCTCTCGAGGCCTGGGCACTTGTCTGGGGCCTGGAGCCCACGGCTGCCTGTTGATGGGCGAGACCGGACGGGCTGCTCATTTACACAAGATCACTCTGGCAGCCGCGGAGAGCGGAGGCCGAGGAGCAGCGATGGTGCAAGTGAGGTCAGTCGGAAGCAGGGCACCAGAGATGTTAGAAACGAGGGGAAAAGGACGGCAAAGAAAGTCGATGCTTCCAGGGGCCTGGACACCTTGGCCGGCTGGCGGATGAGGTGGGGTCAGGGAGCGGAGGGGCCCATGGAGCCCTGGCCTGAACCGTGCCAGGCTGTTGAGAGCCTGGGGGCCGTGGTCTCTGCCCTCGCTTGGAGAGGGTGGCGGTGGGAAGGCACTCAGGGCCCTGCAGACCGCTGGACCCCTGATGGTCAGTAACCTGGTCTGCTTCTGCTGATGGCCGGTGCACGACACCCTGAGTTATTGAGGCGACGACGCCACGCCGTCAGCTCTCCCCGCGTGACAAGGACGCCACGCCGTTGGCTCTCGCTCCCCGCGTGACGAGGACGCCATGCTGTCGGCTCTCGCTCCCTGCGTGACTGGCTACTCCCGGTGAGCTCTTACTAGAAAGTGTGCGACCACAGGATCAGGATGGAGCAGAAAGCACGTCCTCGCTCCCAGACTGCGCGGGCTGCAGGAACGGTCCGTCTACTCAGGGGCTGAGTCTGCTCCGCACACGCTCTGTCTGCTGTGCAGGTTTTAAAGAAATCTGATTTTGTTGGTGAGCTAAAGCATCCCATGTTTCACATAAAAATCAGTGCTTTCAGTGTCAAAAAACACACAAGAAGCCCTAAAGCTCGGCTGCAGCGCTGCGTAGGCAGAGTGGCCTCTGCTCTCGGGTTCTCATCCGCAGTGCTGGGGGGGAGCAGGCTGTGTCGGGGCCAGACCCCCAGCGTTGGGGGAAACGTCCCCGTCCTGGGATTACCTGAGCTGTAGTCACTGAGATGAAATGGTCGTGGGTAGCTCAGAGCTGAGAAGCAGCCTCCTGGCTCAGTTTCCCCGCGGAAGGAAGCCCAAGCACCTCCGCCAGGCGGAGATGGCCGGGATAGGGCTCCTGCGAAGGGTTCTCGCCACCAGGGCCCTGGGCTCTCGCTCTTGGGGATTTCTGGTGAGTCACTCTGGCCACTGGGGCGTGTGACTCGCTAACACAAACACCTGGGACAGGCCTGGAACCGGCCGAGCTGCAGCCACAGCCCACGAGTCCCCTTAGTGTCCAAGCTCTTCAGCCGCTGAGCTCCCACTCGGTGCGCAGGGCAGGGAGGGCGGGAGGTCATCCCGCTTTACTGCTGGGCCGGGAGGGCCCACGTACCACGCTCTGCTGGCCCCGGGCCAAGGTTCCAGCAGACAAGGCAAGACTCCTGGCCACAGGTGGGCTTGGGCACGGACCCACGGCCACACAGCCAGAGCAGTCTGCCTTCACTCAGACGCTTAGGTCAGAGGGTCAGGACGGAGGAGAAAGCGTGTCTGTTTCTGGTTTCTTCTCCTCGCTCTCCTTTAATAGCTGCCTACGTTGGACCTGAGACTGTGCTCTGGAGCACGGGGACCCGCAGAGAAACCGTCTGGGCTCTGCGGGCTGCTGGGAGCGCCCCAGGCCTCGGCCTCCCTCCCTCACGCTTTGTTTCCCCTTCCTGTCTTCAGCCAGATCAGACCGGCCTCGCAGCCAGCTCCTCCTCGTTGCTGGGCTTCGAATGAACATCTGTCCGTGCTCACCTTCTCAGAGACCCCGACGAGCCAGGCGGACCTCGCCCACGTCAGCCCTCTGGCTCCCAGATCCCCAGCCGGCCGCGCACATGCCCAGCCCCCAGTGCACTCGCTTACTCCACGTTTCAGTGGGTGGCGGGACCCGGCCGTGCGTCACCCACGGAAACACCTTTCTAGCCCAGCTCTTCTGACGCGCCCTGGATTGGCAGCCAGGCCAACTGAACTGTTTCTCACCTGGGTGTAACCACAGTCGTTTCAGACAGCTCCCCCTGCGCCCGGGGACGGCTCCCCCTGTGCCGGGGACGGCTGAGCAGGGAGTCAACACACCCATGCCGCGCTTCTTTTCGGCTCTAGTGCACCTCGGGACTCTGGACACCCCATGTGTGGCTGTGGTCCTCAGCCGCCCCTGCCAGGGACTCACGGTGGCTCTCGCCCTGCCAGGCTGGCTCGGGCCATGTGGGTGTTCCCTTTCACCGCCGGGTGCTGCACTATGCCCTGCTTGCTGTGGCTGCTGCGTGGACCTGCAGCAGGTGGCTGCTGGAGCTGCTGCGAGATTGCTCTCAGTGAAGGGGTCGTCCTGCAGCCGGGACGGCAGGAGTCAGCCAGGTCCCGGACCACCTTCCCGACGCCTGTGGGGGGCTCCGAGGATGTGTGGCCCTCTGGAGCACCAGCCTTCCATCCAGCTGGGGGGCCGCCACGTGCAAATGCCTCCGTGGCTGTGACCAGCACTCACCTGGGTGGCTGAACCAGAGATCGGGGTCAGAGTCAGGGCACAGAGGGCTGGCTCCACCGAGCCCCACCTGGGGATCTCCTCCTGGCCTTGCTGGCTCCTGATCCCTGGGCCACGGCTGCACCACTGCAGCCCACCTCGTCATCACGGCCTCCTCCCCTCTTCCCTGCGTCTCTTCTGCTCCCCCCAAGGAGAGAGCGTGCATGGGGCACCTGGCCCGGGTCCCCTCACACCAGAACCTCTCCTGGCTCTGGGCGTGCACGCGCTCTCCGGCCAGTCTGCGGCTCCCAACCCTGTGGCCTCGGCACTGCAGTTTGGCTTGGTGGTGGCTGTGTCCCAGGCCAGGCCTGGGTCCCTTCTGTCTAGGCGGTGACATCCATCACATCAGCTCTCTCCTGTCCGACCCCGCTGCCGAGTGAGTTATCCCTTCCAGGTGAGACCGCGGCTGGGGCTCTGCGTTTTAGGACTTCCCGGTTCAACCCCCACCCTAAACCATGTTTCAGTCCACAGTCTTAACAATGAGGTTCCTGAGTTAGAGTAGGAAGCTGGTCGAAGGTCCGGGAGCAGGTGACAGGAGGGACGAACCCCGAGGGTGGCCGTCACGGGCTCCTGTGCTCACAGGAACCTCAGGAGCACTGAGGGGGGACGAGCCAGGACAAGAGGACACCCCTGGCCCTGCCTGCAGCAGAGGAGCGAGTGAGGCCTCATTCTAGCCCCGGAAGCCCCACTGTGAGCAGGACTGACAGGGACAGGCAGGCTGGCCCGGGCCTGGGGCTAAGGCAAGCAGATCCCACGGAACTCTGACTCGGCTTGAAAGACACACTGGGCACAGACGGAGGGGGGGCGGAGGAGGGATTGCTGTGTGGCTGTGCTGTACTGGGGTGATCTCTCTTTCTGTCTCTGTCTCTATCTCTGATGAGCACATGTACCCTCTAGACAGGACGGATGCTGGAGCTGGGTGGGGTCTGGGGCCAGAAGTGCGGTGCCCCTGGGAGCGGAGACGGCAGGCTCTCCCGCATGATGCCCTGTTAGCCTCCGTGACGCCTGGCCCAACACCGCCGGCTCACACGGGCTTTTCACCCGCTCAGTCTGGGGCGATGAGGCTGATGGCGTCCACTCCTGGCAGCCCGGAGCAGGTGAGGGCAGGGAGCCCACTTCTCGCCGTGCGGGTCCTCGAGCCTCTGTGCCTCCGTGAACGGACTCGGCAGGAGGGGTGCGCCGTACGGCTGCCTTACAAGTGGCTGTGGGCATCAGGTGAGAACAGCCATGGTGCTGGCGTGTGGCAGGGTCCTCCGGGTACAACCCGTACGTGACTTCGCCCGCACGGACCCCTGTCCTGAGGAGGGCTGGGCACATCGGCTGTGGCCTGAGGCCGGGGGCCACGTGCCCTGACTCCATGCCAGGTGTTAGACACACGTGCGTCTCTCCCCACCCCCGCTTTCTGCCGAGGCCATGGGCAGCGGAGCAGCGCACAGGCGGGCTCTGGTGGCCTGTCCCAGTCACTCGCTTGTTTCTGTCCTTGTCCCAGGTACATGTCCTCAGTGCCGGGGTCCACGGAAAGGCTCTGTTTCCAGGAGCGAGGAGGCTGGGAAGCCCACGGACCCGCCGGTCAGCCACCCTCCCGAGCCTCTCTGAGCTGCAGGCTGGACTCCCACATCTCTGTGGGGTGGCCATGTTGGGCCTGTGTGACAGGCGAGGGGACAGGCCAGGCGAGACCACACTGTGGGTGTGCCCCCAGGTGTGCCCAGCGGGTTAGGAACAGCTGGGATTTGAATCCTGCGGTGGGCTTCCTGTTTTTCGAACTAGATTTTTAGAGGTGCTTGCAGATTCTCAAAAGCAATACCAGTTAGCCTGCGTGCCCTTCATGCACGCCAGTGCTGAGACCCCGCGTGTTTAATGTGAGTCACAGCCAGGACGTTGCCTTGACCCGCCTTGTGGGTTTTTTTGGAGAGGTTTTTGCTATAGGGCATGTGCGCTTGCAAGAGAGAGACAGAGACAGAAAGTGAGAAGTCACCCCCCGGGGGGATGGCCACGCTGCAGCCCTCTCTCCTCCATTCTCCACGTGGGATTGAGGGCACGCACGCACATGTACCTGGCGTGAGTTTAAGCCACCGGGTCTGGGACTCGAACCACAGTTGACTACATGGGAGTCTAGCGACATAGCCATTATGCCAACTGCTGGTCCCCGACCTGCCTCATGTTTCACCAGGACACTCCAGCCACGCAGGCCGATGCGATGTGCTTCTCGAGGAAGACGGTTCTGAGGCCAACCTCCCACTTTCAGTGAAGGCCATCATGCCGAAGCTCACATGAGAAAACCTTCAGTGCCCAGGATCCCGAGAGGAGAGTGGAGGAGAAGGGACTGCAGCATGGCCATCCCTCCTGGGGGTGATTTCTTGCTTTCTGTCTCTCTGTCTCTATCTTTCTGGTGAGCGCATGTGCCCTATAACAAAAACCTCTCCCCCCGCCCCCCCCCCCAAAAAAAAACCCCCTCAGTGGGGTTATGTCACCTCAGAAAATCCTTGGTTTATTATTCTATCTGGGTCTCATCCATTCACTCTGAGGTACACTGTATGCCACAAAACGGCTGCAAAACCTCCTGCCATTGCACATGTTCCCCTCACGATGAGACGCCGCTCTTCTCCTCCACAGGAGAGGCCTCCCACATCCCTTCCCTGTGAACTTGAGTGGGCCGTCACGTAGACAGGACCATGCGGTGTGACTTCCGGCTGTCGGTTGCGAACCGTGAGGAAGCTTCCTCTTGGTTCTTTGGAGGATGTTCTGGAAAGCTGTGGCCGTCTTTGAGGAGCCTGAGCTGGCCCACATGCAGGGCACACGCAGAAGTGTGGTCAGAAACCAGTGAGGTCCCAGCTCACGGTCAGCGGCAGCCTCCAGAGAGGTTCGCGTGCCTCCAAGGGAGTCCAGCCTCCAGCTGTGGAGCCTCTCCCTGCCCCCGCCCCAACCCCGGCTCTTCAAAGCCAAGGCCTGGGACGTGCAGAGCAGGAAAGCCACCCTCGCCCCGCCTGGCCCAGAGTCTCGCCCACAGCACCCAGGAATTCGGTGAGATGGTAGTTTCAGGCCGAGGGTGCTTTCTCGCCCAGCCGGGCCTGCTGGGTGCTTCCTGGGGCTGGGCGTCGGGGTGCCGGCCCGGCCACACCCACACACACCTCCAGTCCAGGGCGGCGTCTCCCACGGCTGGCGTTTGTTTTTGTTTCTGTTTTATTTTATTTTTACAAGAGGAGGAGACTTGGACTCGGTCCTCTTTGGGCTTTGATTCTCTTGCCAAGCGAATTAGCCCGAGTATTTCCGTCTGGCCATGCCCGTCAGTGTGGCCGAGTGGAATTAGCTGTGAGTCACTTCCGAGGCCACCCTGGGGGCTGAGGGCCCTCATGGGTCGGGCCTTCATTCCCTGGCGCCTGACCCTTATGGCAGGGATGGGCAGGGAGACCTGTGGGAGAGTGCGGGGGGCGGCTCCCAGCCCTGGGTTTCTGCCCTCGCAGGTGCGGAGCTGGAGGCTGGAGCCAGCCGCAGCGCGGGCGGGCACCCAGGGCTGGGAGCTGGCCTGCGTTAGGAGCTCCACCTGCGGTCCCCGCTCTCTTGCGGGGGGCCTTCAGTGGCCCGCGAGAGGGCAGATGAAACAGCTGCTGTTTCCTGGTTCGAGGCCAAACTCCGAACAAACAAGCCAAACGTTCCGGGCCCAGCAGGACAGAAAGCCCGCAGGAGGCTCCAGGAAGGTGGCCATGCTGGAAGCCCTCTGTGCGGAGACAGGGTGGGGGACCCCTGTCACGTGCCTGTGCCCTGGCCCACGAGGAGGCTTTCCCATGGGGACTCGTCGGGCTGGGTGACGCCATCTCGCAGAAAGTCTGCCGTGGGGGCGGCTGGCCTTCTGCAAAGCCAGAAGTCTGGGGTCCCAGAGCGGACTTCTGTTCCAGCCCTCAGCACCTGGCCGTCTTCCAGGACCTCTCCTGCTCGCGCTCACCCTGTCTGCACACGCTCACTCCGACGGCCCATGACAGCCCACATCTCAGGCCTGCGCCCCAGCTCTGGCCGAAACCACCGGCTGGGGCTCTGGGGAAATAGTGTTTGAGATGTGTCGGCAGGGAGCCCTGGGTTGGGGCGTCCTGGGGAGGCCTGCTGCGTGAGCGTGGAGGACAATGCGGGACCTCGCCGGCCGGACCCGCCAGGGTATCCCGCTGCCTTTCTCCTTAAGATGCTGGAGTTGGCTCTTTGGGGCCTGAACTGCAAGTGTCCTGGCTGAACCCCGAGTCTCAAAGTGGTGGCCGCATCTTCCAAGGGCATGTGTGTCTCACACGGCAGCGGCTGAGCATCACGCATGGGGCGGCTTAGGGCAGCGCGTTCCACCCTTAGCAGGCCGGAGGTCGGATGTAGGTCGGAGTCCTGGAAACGAGGGTCCCAGCCTTTGCAGCCAGAGGCCCGGTTCCTGGGTCGCAGCCCCTTCCTCCGTCTGCAAAGCCCTGTGTCCGCTGTCCCCTCCGCAGTGCGAGGGGCTCTCCAGTCTTAGCCGTGGGTAGGTGGCCCCGCAGGTGGCAAGTATTCTCCGCATCGGTCACAGCCAGCCTGGGCAGGGGACGTACCCACTCCTAGAGCGATGGCCTAGCCACTTTCTGCCTCCCAGGACAACGCGTCCTTGGCGGGTGTGTCACACTCGGCTGTGCGCTGTGCTGCTTGGTGGCAGTCGGAAGGGCTGTGCAAGTGGGAAGCCCACTGAGTTAAGGCGTGACATGGCGGGTAGGGAGGCCCTTGGAGGCCGCGCGCTAAGGTGGAGCTCCTCGGGCGACACACATGTTCTTGCTGGCTCGTAGCAGCCCTGGGGCGCTTTGCTGGTGGCTGGGACAAGTCACTTCTCCTTTTTTGATGTTCCCGAGGACGTGTCAGAAACAACGTGGAAACGTGGTGGGTCCTTCCCGGGTGGTGCCCAGAGCTTGTTGGAGCAGAGCTCTGTCCTGACGACCCAGGCGCCCACAGCGCTGTCCGAGCCCCCACCGCTGTCCACACCTGCTGTGGCGGGGGTCCCGCCCCCCGCCCCGCCCGGCGGGGG